TTCGCCTTTTAACCCTTGCTCAGAGTTAGGCAAGGGTTAAAAGGCGAAAAATTCCTTATGCAAAGGAGGCCCATAGTTCTCTCGCCTCCCCCTACAGTTAGCACTAAGTAGACTCAGAGTCACTACCTTAGCCTTCTTAATTATTTTAAAAATTCTTTTCTTTTCTTCATGACACTGGTGAGGCCCCGCCTCCCCTGATTTCACGTCCCTGCCACTGACCCTGATGAAGGACATGATGGCGCATTTAGTCAAAGGCAAAATCTTCATTAAGTTAGATTTGTGGGAGACTTACTACTGAGTTCGAGTAAAGGAAGACAATGGAAAACTGTTTAACTGCCATCTGGGATGTTTCCAATTCTAGGTGCTCCATTTTGTTCTGCAAGGGGACCCAGCAGCATTCATGCAACTGATCAATGAGGTGCTGCACGATTATTTATACAAAGGAGTTTTGGTGTATTTGACATTTTAATATATACTGAAACTATGGAGGAGAATGAGAAATTGGTAGTGTCCCAAGAATTATACCGAATTATATGGAAAACTTTCTAAATGTGAATTTTACCAAGATAAAATCAACAAAGGAAGGGGTGAAAATGGACCTAGAAAAGATGAAGGCCATACTAGAATGGCCCCCTCCCCGGACTAGGAAGCAGTTACAGAACTTCCCTGGATTTGCCAATTTTTACCACCAGTTCATCATCTCATTTGCAAAGATTGCATTGCCAATCACCAACCTTTTAAAAACTAAGGGTGAGGGCAATCCAAAGCCAAGTTAGTCGCTTAATTGGACCATGGAGTGCCAAGTGGCATTTGAACAACTTGACGTGGCTTTCGAGTGTGGACTGACCATAAGTACCTGGAAGCCGTGAAAACCCCATGCAAATTACCCCCTGCACAAGTTAGTTGGGCTCAATACTTTTATTCATTCAATTTTAGTCTGCACTATATTCCAGGAGGTAAAAACTTTATGGTGGACTCTCTGTCCAGATTGCCTCAATACAATAGTATTAAGACTGAAGTGGTTTGGTTGGTCATCCCCTCAAAGCAACTAGCAGCCCCAGTAACCACTAGAGTCCAAGGGAGGAATGAGCTTGAGATTCAAAATTAACTGGGTGAGCAGCTTAAAGAAGCTTGATGAATGGTTAGCTCCACCATGTGCAATGGACTGGCTTGGGTTGGAGTCAAATTGTAAGTGCCCTCAAGATTGAGGAGCACCATTTATAAAAAATTCTCATAACTCTAAGTCAGCAGGGTACTTTCGATTTGTAAAAGCCCAACACTTGGTTTAATGTATGTTTATTCATATTACCATCATCATACCTCCATTTTCATTTGACTATAATTTTTTAAACGTCCTTCATCATAAAATATACCAAGATTTAAAACATAACCACATACTGGCATTTCTTTTTTTTAAAAATAATTTTCATTAAATGTTTTAAGCTTTAAAAACAATAGGAAAGACACAGCAAAGAAAAAAAAACATAATAAGACAAAACAAAACATAGAACATATAACAATATACAATAATTTTACAGCTTTCTATATCGGCTTTTCTTCTTAGCTTTTATAATTCTCCCTTCTGCATTGCCTTCCTCTCACTATAATCTTGTCCTATAATGTAACAAACATAATATTAACATTTATAATAGTATTCATTATCATTATCTCCATATATTTGTATTCTCTATTTTCTGTCTTGGCTTTTGTTTTCTAGCCACTTGTACATTTTATTCCATATTTTATAGAAGT